TTTTCTTGCGTGTGATATTAATGATGTCATTCAATGATTTCTGCCTTCTGTTGGGTCACCTTTCTTTAGAATGGCCACAATTGATGGATCTTTTCCAATCAGTTGGTCCAGTAGCTATCCTCCAAATATCTTGACATAGATGAGTGAGTGCCTCTAGTACTGCATCAGATTATATATTCTGTTAATTTCTGAAACCTTGTTTTCACCTATGCCTTCAGTGCAGCTTGGACTTCTTCCTTCAATACGATCAGTTCTTGATCATATGGTACCTCTTAAAATGACTGAACATTGACCAATTCTTTTGGTACAGTAATTTGTGTATTTCTTCTGTCTTATTTTGGTGATTTATGCATCATTCAATATTTTGTCAATTTTTGTTAAGTGCTTCTGAGTCAGTTCTGACTCACAGTGACCTTGTATAGGATTTACTAGGAGCAGCTGGTGAGCTTGAACCGCCAACCTTGAGGTTCAAACCCATCTTGCAGTCTAGCACATTAACCCACTGCGCTACACCAGATAATTGAATCCTTCAATATTAAAATCCAGGTTTGAATACTTTCTTCAGTTCTTTTGGCCTAAGAAATGCTGAGCATGTTCTTCCCTTTGGGTTTTCTAATACCAGTCTTTACACATTTCATGATAATATCTGACTTTGTCTTCTCAAACTGCCCTTTGAAATTTTCTGCTCAGCTCTTTTACTAAATTTCCCCCAAGCACTTTGGCTTCTCTATGCTCAAAAGCAACTTTCGGCATCTCTTCTGACATTCACTTTGGTGTTTTCTTCTTTTTCTGTCTTTTCAATTATTTTTTTGTTTTCTTCATATGTGATTGTTCTTGATGTCATCCCACAATTCTTCTGGTCTTCAGTCATTAGTGTCTAATTAATGTCTAATGCATATCTCTAAATTCAGGTGGGGTATATTCCAGGTCATATTTGGTCTCTCTTAGACTTGCTGTGATTTTCTTCAGCTTCAGCCTGAACCTGCATAGGAACAATTGAAGCTCTGTTCCACAGTCTACCACTGGCCTGGTTTTAGCTGATGATATGGAGCTTATCTATCATCTCTCTCCACAGATGTAGTCAATTTGATTCCAGTGTATTCTGTCTGGTGAGGTCCATGTGTCATCTTTTATGTTGTTGAAAAAAAGCATTTGCAATGAATAAGTCACTGGTCTTGCAAAATTGTATCATGCAATCCCCAGCATCGTTTCTTTCACTAAGGACATATTCCAACTACTGATCTTTCCTCTGCATTCCTAATTTTCACATTCTCATCACCATTTCAGATTGAAGAAGTTGGTAGAATTCTTCAATTTCATCATCACTGACTTTAGTGATTCGTGTTTAAATTCCAATAATAGTGGTATTAACTGGTGTCCTTGTAGGTCTATTGACATTATCCTGTCACAGACAGCATTGTACTTCAAGACAGATTTTGAAATGCTCCTTTTGACTATGAATGCAATGCCATTTCTCTTCAGTTGACATTGTAAACCATATGGTTATCTGATTCAAAATGAAAACGGTCAATGCCAGTCCATTTCAGTTCACTGATGCCTAAAATATCAGTCTTCATGGGTTCCATTTCATTTTTTGATGGCTTCCAATTTTCTTAGATGCATATTTTTTATACTCTATGTTCTGATTATTAATGTATGTTACAGCTCTTTCTTCTCATGTTTAGTAGTACCCATCAGCAAATGAAAATCCTAAAAGCTTAACTCCATCCATGTCATTAAGGGCAACTCTGAGGAGGCAAATCTTCCCCAATCATATTTTGAGTGTCTTCCCACCTGAGAGATTGGCACTATATCCAATCCCTATTAAATATGTATCTTTAATTTACATAAATGGAGTGATGCTATTCTCTTAATTCAGTTTCTTACTCTTTTTCATTCGATGATTATTTTGTAAGATACATCCATACTACTGTGTTCATTAGCTTGTTACCATTACCTGCTGCGTCTCTACCTTACTTTCCTTTCCCCTAGTATTGGGTCTTAGGCTGTCTCTAATTCCTGACTTCCACAAACACAGATGTGATGATTATCCATCCCTCCATATGTTCCCTAAGGGAGCATCTGGTGGGAATTTCTCTGGAATATGCAGCCAGGGGTGAGACTACTTGGTCACAGGGAGTCTGCCTTAAGTCTTGCCAGAAGATACTCCAGATGGCTGTACTAGTTCTAGTACTAGGTCAGTGTACTAGCTCAGTGCAGTGGTTAAGCACTCAGCTGCTAACTGAAAGGTCAGTGGTTCTAACCCACCAGCCACAAAATAGGAGAAAGATGTGGCAGTCTGCTAACAGAAGAATTACAGCCTTGGAAACCTTATGGGACAGTTCTACTCTGTCCTACAGGTTTTTGTGAATCGGAATTGACTCACTGACAGTGGATACACCAATCTACACAAGTCTACACTAGTCTACACAAGTCTACACTAGTCTACAACAGTCTATCTTCCTGTCAACAGTGCATCCAGAGCCCCATCTCTCTGTTCTTCTATAGCACCTGCTATTCATCCAACTTTCTGGGGTTTTGTTTTGATTTGATTTTTGGGTTTTGCCACTCTAGTGGGTATAAAATAGCATCTTGTTTTACTTTAGATTTTTCAATTACTAGTAATTTTGTACAACTCTTCATCTGTTTATTGCCAGTCTTGATTTTTTTCCTCTGTTATTTGCCTGTTCACATCCTTTGTCCATACTTTATGTATTTCCTTCTCTTTTTGATTCATGAGCTCTCTATACATCCGATGTTCCACCACTGTCTTTTCTTGCTCTGATGACTGCTGACCTTCTTGATGGCCTCCAGTCTTAACCCATCTGCACTTGATTAGGGCTTAAGGCAGGGATCTGTGGTTTGTGTGAGTGTGTGTGTGTGTGTGTGTGTGTGTGTGTGTGTGTCTTGTTCTCCCAATAGAGGGCACATTTGTTTCTCCAAAGAGTCTGATGGAGTCAAATTGGGAGACATGTCTAAGAAAGCCTTTTACCCTCACAAAGATATGCAGGGGTTTCATAAAGGGGCTTCACCATTTTTCAGTGGTGGAAAACTTCCATTCTTTTAACTCCATTTTTTCATGAACTTTTGGAAACCCCTTCATATTATATTTTGGAGTCCTGGTGTGGCATCATTAGATAAGCACTGGACTTCAAGGTTGGTGGTTCAACCACAAGGTTGGTGGTTCAAACTCACCAGCTGCTCATCGGAAACTATACAGGGTTGCTATGAGTCAGAACTGACTCTACAGCACTTAATAACAACAAAAACATACTATGTTTTATTCCATTGATTTTGTGGCTTTACCTTTTACGTTTAGATTTTTACAGCCATCTGCATTTGTGTATGGCTTAAGGTAGGGTGGGATCCGTGTTTTGTTTTGTTTTACATAGAAGGCACTCTTGTTTCTCCAAAGAGTCCACTAACCAGTCGTTCTTTCTCCATTGGTTTGTACTGCTCTCTTTCTCATAAATCAAGGTACTGTATATCTTGGTCTAGTCTAAGCTTTCTATTCTGCTCCTGGGTATTTCCATCTCTTTGTCCAGCACAGAACATATACCTAAATCTATTGAATTGAATTCACTGTTGAAAGGTCAGCAACTAGGGGAGAGAAACTTAGGAGCCCATGGCAGCCAGGGAGACCCCAGTTTGGAAATGCTTGTATGTTCTGAATTCCATAGAACAAAACCAAGAGAAGAGGACCTTGGGCAGGAAAGAACACTGTTGTCCTTTTTATTAGTTCAACAGCCCAGTTAAGACTCTCACAAGATCCCTGCCAAGCACATGGACTCATGCCCAGAGTTTTACCTACGCTTGGGGAGTTCACAGACCTCTGGAATCTCAAGGACTCTGAGTTAACCCACTAGGGGAAAGACAGTCAATACAGACGACCTATGCCCTAAATCTTCATTTACAGGATGCTGATGAGCATGGTTGATTAAAACTTTTCTGAGGGATAAGTAACAAGCACAACCATTCATCGATGACCTGATGTAATGTAGATACATTGAGTACCTGATGTAATGCCAAATGCATGACATCATAGTCTCATTTAATCCTCTAGTGAGCTGGGTATTTTCCCTGTTTTATAAATAAGGATAGTGAGGTTCAGAGATATTAGGAACTTGTCAGTTTTATTCCCCAACCTGTCTGATTCCCTGTAATGGGCTCCTGAGTTGACCACCTGGCTTAGTTATCTAGCGCTGCTGTAACAGAGGTATTGCAAGTAGATGACTTTAATAAGTAGAAATTTACTGTCTCTCAGTTCAGGAGGCTAGAAGTCCAAATTCAGAACGCCAGCTCTTGAGAAAGGCTTTCTCTTGGTGTTTGCTCTGGGGAAGGTCCTGCATCAGCAACTGTAGGTCTAACATTCCTTAGTGATCTCTATGTGCATCAATCTTCTCCTGCATCTAGGGGCTTCACAGTGCAGGGACCAGATCCAAAGGACCCAGTCCACTGCTAGGTCTTCTGTCTTGGTGGCAGCAGGTTCTTCTGAGCTCTGCTTGCTTGTTTAAACTCGCTCGTTGATATCTCAAAAGACATTGACTCAAGACACAGACTAATCTTGTATATTGCATCCAGCTTCATCAACATCATAGAAGTGAGAATTTACAACACAGAAGATAATTACATCAGATCAGAGCTGATCACATCTGATCACAGCAGAGGGCTGGTAGTGATTACATAACTGCCAAGCCACTGAGAATTCTGGACACCTACTCTGGGGGGATAGATACCGCCCTACAATGCAACCCCAGTTGCTCACCTGATGTGCTATCATTCCAGCTATTTCAGATTTGCTAATAGCCGCTGGGCACCCCAAGTCTCCCAGCTCGTCCCAGGAGCGCCGGACAGATCACATCTATGTGGATGTTGAGCCTCCTTCCACAGTGGTGCCTGACTCCACCCAGGCCACTCTGATTGATGTCCCTGACTCATCCCCCATTCTGGAGCCCCAACGCAAGTCCTCAGCTCCAGAGCCACCCAAAGGTGGAAAAACTAAGGTCAGAATGCAATTCCCTTGCCATATTTACAAGGCTCATTAGAGTGTTCATTGGATGTTCTAGATACTAATCTTCCCAGCACTAACTCTATGACCTTCACAGTTCTGAGCATCAGCTTCCCATCTGTAAAATGGGAATAATAATATCCACTTTACAGCATTGTTGTGAAGATCAGATACATCAATGTAAATGAAATTATTCACCTAATGTTGAGGATATTTAAACAGAAAATCTTCAGAAAGTTATAGCTTGGAAAGCCCTTTATCTAGGACTATTCTATTAATATTTAGAATCAAATTCTGGGCAAGGTCAGGAGCCCTGGTGGCCTAGCAGACTGCTAACTGACAGGTTGGTGGTTTGAACCCACCAGCTGCTTCAAGGGAGAAAGGTATAGTTGCATCTGCTTCTGTAACAATCTGTGGCCTTGGAAGCCCAGTGGGGCAGTTCTACTCTGTTCTGTAGGGTCGCTATGAGTCAGAATTAACGTGAGAGCAGTGGGATATTTTGAGTTTGGTTTGTGCAAGGTCATGTGGAACCAAAAGATTATGTCTTCTGGGTTCTCAGCTGAGGGGAGGGGACATGAACAGGCACACAAGGAACCATCAAACAAGGATATGATTAATGTTTCTACATCATAAATTTGAGTACAAAATCCTGGAGAATCTGTTAAACTAAAGGAGGAGGCAGCTTCAAGAAAATCTTTAAAGCATTGCATGACCAACAAATGGTAAAGGTTGAAATAAAAACCAAACTTCCCCCAATCAAAAAAAAAAAAGGCAAACTTGTAGTTGTCAACTCAATTTGGTCTCAGTGACCCTGTCGAACAGAGAACTGCCCCATAGGGTTCCCAAGGCTGCAGTCTTGACGGAAGGAGACAGACTGCCACATCTTTCTCTTACAGAGCAGCTGGTAGGTTCAAATCACTGACCTCTTAGTTAGCAGCTGAGCACTTAGCCACTGTGCCACCAGAGATCCTTGAAATAAAGAGCATTGTTGTTGTTAAGTGCCATCAAGTCAGTTCCAACTCGTAGTGACCCTATATAGGGTTTATGAGAAGCAGTTGGTGAGCTTGGACCACTGATTTTGCAGTTCAAACTAACCTTGCAGTCCACTGCATTAATTCATAGCACCATACTGGGTCTCCTGAAATAAAGAGCCAAGGAAGATAAATGAGTAATATTTATTCAGGCTCTTCCCATCACGTCTATGCTCAACGTGATCCTCTGTGACCAGGCTCTCTCGTCCCACCAGCATCGCACCTGTCACTTTATATTGGAATTCTCAGTTGAGGTGTTTGTGGCCGGTGAGTCCAGCAGGTCAGGGATGATGCGTTGACAACTCCATATCCTCTGCACTTGCTGCAGTGCTCGGCATATAGTTGGTATTCCGCTATGTCCAGGAGACTGAGTGAATGACGGTACGTGATGAAACTCACCTAGGGCACCTGTCTTCTCCCAGCTGCCATGCGTATATTACTGCCACTCTAACCTCCGGGCATGTAGATAATGCTGCTGTTAAGTGCTGTGGAGTCATTTCCAACTTAATAGGTGCCATTTAGTTGTTCCTGTTTAAATGTGAAACAAACAACGGCAACAAAATTGGAAACAATGCTACCAGGACTTCACCTATTGGATGTCACTGAATCCTCACAACAGTGAAGTAGAGTAAACTGAGAGTCACAAGTTAAAGTGTTTAATATATAGTTAATAGTGTGCCATCCAGTTAATAGGATATGCACTGGACTGTGAACCACAAAGTCAACGGTTCAAACCCACCAGATGCTCCTTGGAAACCCTATACAGCGTCTCTATGAGTCGAAACCGACTTGAGGACACTAGCAGCAGTAAATGACCTGTCTGACGTGATTGCCCATTCTACTATACCACACTGTGTAAGGAAGCTTTAAAAAGTTCATAGAAAAGTAGAATTGAAATATCATGGAATTCTTCCATAAACTTTTGAAGCCCCCTTGTATGACATAGTTGAGCACTCATTAATTGCGTGCCTGTCTTCGCTACTGAACTGTTGCTGTTGTTATGTTCCATCGAGTCGATTCCGATCCATAGTGACCCTGTATAGGGTTTCCGAGGAGCAGCTGGTGAACTTGAACTGCCGACTTTGCAGTTCAAACGGCTTTGCAGTCTGGTGCATTAACCCACAGAGCCACACCAGGAACTGTAAGTGTTCCAATATGGGATTGTGTGTAATTCCACTAACATCCCAAACATAAAGCACAATGTGTGACATCCACTCAGTAAACATTTGTTGATCGAATGAGTGGACTGTTAAACTTTCATTTATTGAAATGATAGAGAACTGAGAGCACAAAGCCTCCATCTGCTTCAACAGACACCAGTATGTTCTCTTTCCCAGCTAACCATTGGCCATCAGTATGAGCTCCATGAGGCCTTAACCACTAACCCATCCCTTGTCTCTTGCCAGGATTCTGGAAAACCTTCCCGGAGGTCAACTAAAAGAAAAAAGAGGACCATAGCAGATGAATCTGCTGAAAACGTCATTGACTGGTGGTCTAAGTATTATGCCTCCCTGAAGAAAGCACAGAAGGTATGGTGTCCCCTGGCTATGACAATCAAGGGCCTCAGGAGAAAACACAGCAACTTCTACCTTCCCACATTCCACATGCCCTCTCTAGCTCCACGGCCATTTTTAAATCCCCCTCTCCTAGGCCCGTGGTGGGTGTGGGTCTCTTCATTGCCACTGCCACTGCTATGTGCCATCAAATCAGTTCTGACTATAACCCTGTGTAGAGTTTCCAAGGCTGTAACGATTCACGGGAGCAGACAGCCTCCTCTTTCTCATGTGGAGTGGCTGCAGGATCATAAAGGCTGGCAGGACCAGGGACCTGGGATTATCTAGTCCCCCACTTGAGCTAGAGCTGGCTCCAGGACACAAATTCTATTAGAAAGGTTAGAAGGTAGTTAAGTCCAGCACAACACTTGAAGGTTCTGTCTACCAGTCTGACTCAGAAGAAGAAATGGGGCCTCAGGAGAGGTGAGTATCAGTGATTGGGCCTCTGGTCCAAGGGCTCCAAGGCTTCAGCAGGATCCTAAGGGAAACTGTCAAGTGGAGAGAAGTAGCCTTGGCCTTAGAAAGTGGGATACTCTGCAGGATCTCACAGGTCTCTGCAGTGAACTGTCATTTAGAGAATGCTCTGGCTGTGACACCTCTGGGATGATGGAGTAAGAATGGTTAGTAGTCAGGATGAAGACATTGGGCATAGTCAATTAACCATCTCCTTCTTCTCTCTAAAGGCAAAGGAGAGCAATTCCAAGCAGCAAACAGGTAAGTAGCTGTTCTGAGGACATTTGGACATAAGAACATGGGCCATTTTGGTGTGAAAATTGTGAAATGGAAGACAAGGCTGGTGTATCAGAGCTTAACCTCTTCATCTCCCAATTGAGGAAACATTTTCCAGTAGATGACAAGACTAAAATGAGTACAGGGCTGGTTTGAGCTGGACTGGGACCAGATCCCAGGTCTCCTGAATCCAGTTCAGTGCTGAAATTGACTCCTTGGTTCCTGTCTCTACATTAACAGTCTTAACGTAGAAAAAGCATAGTAAAAAGAGGCACACACTGGAAGGCCAGGCCAAAACCAACACAATCAGCTTTAAATAGGGCGTGTGCAAAGGTCTGGAATCAGGTTCCAAAACTCAGTTTACAAGGTCTGGAGAGATCTGGTTTGGCAGAAACTCAAATGGAAGAGGCTTAGAATTTGAAATGGCCACAAAGTTGATTCAAGCCAACCGTAGGTCTTGGCCTAAAGACAGCAGTGAACCAAGCAGCCTATGCTGTTTCAGAGAACACTTAGAGAAGAAAGAAATGGGAGCCAGCTCAGTTCTTCAGGCCACTCATAGTTACCATCTGAATTCTAAGACCACCCCATGGCAGTCTCATATTGCAGATGATGAAACAGAGACACAAGGAAGTCAAGTAACTTGTCCAAGGTTACACAGCTAGAAGGTAGTGGCAGTGTAACTCCAGAGTCTGCCATTAAAAATTTATGGACTAATCTCATTATAATAACTACAACAATAGAGTCAAACATAGCAATGTTCATGAAGATGGAACTTTTTGTGTTCTTATATGTAAGATTGCTATGAATGGTAATTAGCAAGCTTACATGACTTTGTGCAAGATCTATCTTGAACATTATAAGACTCATTACTCAATTAGGGCTAGCTAGATCACCACCCATCTCCCTAAAAAGAATATGATCTGAAAGAGGGTATAACCGTAAGCTTTGCAGTCAATTCGTCCCGGGTGTGTTTTCTGCTAGTTGAATGCCTTTAAGCAAATTGCCTGAGCTCTCTGGCCCTAATGTAATGTGCTCTAACAACTATGGTGGGCCAGCACCTTGCCAGGCTCAAGCATTCTTTCCATTGCATTTCCATGTGACTAGCATTCCCTGGGGTTGTGCAGTGCCCTGTTTGCAGGACGGTACTTGCGACCCTACAGCAAAATGTCACCATTTCTTTTTTTAAAAGAAGGTTCATGAAGAATGCCAGAGTGAAGAGAAAAAGTAGTTTGGTTTTGTTCTTTCTAATCTCAGCAGCCATGAGACATCTAACTATATCCTCTGCATACCCACAGAGGCACAAACAGACCACGTGGTGGTAGATATAGAAGACGGCCCAAAGAAGAAGAAAGACAAAATGCTCAAGAAGAAAGTCAAAGAAGATGACATCCCCAACCTCGCTGTGTTACAGGTGTGGGCAAAGTCATGTTTACCATGGGTTACATGAGCAGTGCAGAAGCTAGGCTTCTTTTATATCTATTCAGTGGGTGCCATTGATTAGATTCTAACTCCTGTTGACTCTGGGTGATTGAGCAGAATTTCCCCATAGGGTTTTCTAGGCTGTAATCTTTATGGGAGTAAATTGTCAGACCTTTCTCCCACGTAGCTGCTACGTACGATTGAACTGCCAATCTTTTGATTTTTTGCGGTCATTTCTAGTAATGTCTTTATTTTCACTGATTTATTTTGTCTTTATTATAATCATCGCTGCACAGAAATTCATTGCAAGAAAACAAGCGTGTAATCAAAGACAATGGAGCTTACTAATTTTCTAGTTTTACATCTTCATATTGTGAAGAGACATAACTTAATTGTTTAGCTTAAGTCCAGTGAGGGAATTTCCCATCTCTGTATTTCCTTGGCTCACCTCTTTGAGCTTGACATCATCACACACTGTGCATGCACTCAAAACAGCAGGAGTGTTAACTTTAAATGAAGTTGCCTCAATCTTAACACTGTTGTTGTTAAGTGCCACTGAGTTGGTTCCAACGCATAACGACCATGTATAAGGTTTTCCAAAGAACAACTGGTGAGTTTGAATGCTGACCTTATAGTTCAAACTGGTCTTGAGGTCCAGTGCTTTAAGTCTACAGTACCACACAGATATTAGCTAAAGGTGTATTTACGGTATGTAATTAATTATGTAGCCACATAAGTATGAACATTATGTAGCTTAGATAAAGCAATTTGGATAGAAAATTTGAATAAGTAATTGAATGATGTTACAAAACCTAAAATCAATGTGATTTGCATTTCTAAAATGGATATATAATTTCCCACTTGGGAAATCCAGTTCTATATACATTATAATAAAAACCAATATTCTATCACTTTATGTTGTTGTGTACCATCAAGTCGGTTCCTACCCATAATAACCCTGTGTAGTGTTTCCAAGGCAGTGAGAAAAGTCCTGTCTTTCTCCCTAAGAACAGTTAGTAGATTTGAACTGCTGACCTTGTGGTTAGTAGCCCAACATACAACCCACTAGGCCACAGGGCTTCTCCTATCACCTTTGTGTTGTTGTTAAGTGTCATCAAGTCGGTTCTGACCCATAGCGACCCTGTATAGGGTTTTCTAAAGAGTGGCTGGTGAGCTTGTACTGCTGACCTGACTTTGCAGCCCAGTGCATTAACTCACAGCACCACACCAGGACTTTATATATGTTAGTAATTAGATACTTGATGAACTTTTCATTAATTTTAATTTCCTAAAAATACTATGGAGTCCTGGTGTGGTGCTGTAGGATAATGCATTGGACTGTGAAAAGTCAGTTTAAACTGCAAGGTTGGTGGTTCAAACCCACCAGCATTTCCTCGGAAACCCTATACATACAGGGTTGCTATGAGTTGGAACTAACTTGATGGCACTTAACAACAATAACAACAAAATGTTATAGTCTATAGCCAACAACAAGGAGCCCTGGTAGTGTAGTGGGTTATACATTGGGCTGCTAACCACAAGGTCAGCAGTTCAAGTTCACCAGGCACCCCATAGGAGAAAAGCGAGGCTCTCTGCTCCTGTCAATATTTACAGCTTTGGAAACCCTATATGGGGTCTCTACAGCTCCACGACACCACCACCACCATGCCATCACCACAGCCAACAACCAGTGACATTAATTACCTATTAAAAGACTAGTCATAGTTATACCTATATATTTTTAAGTTTTGGTTAAACTATGCAAGGGGGCTTCCAAACGTTCATGGAACAATTCCATTTTTCCATGAGACTTTAAGTCTCTTTATATTCTCAGAATGTCAAAGTTCATTGAAAATTGTATAAATTTCAGAGTATGCTAGGAATCGTGAATCCATCATGGTTCTATTATTGCTACAGATAAATTAAAAATCTAATGGTCTATTAGATTTTTTTCCCAATGGGCATATAACAAGGCTAATTGTAGACTATCCTGATGTTTCTCATTAAATCCTTCTTCTTAGCACAATCTTCTCCCTTCTCTCTAAAGATATATGATGATGATCTTGAGAGCAAATTCAACAATTTTGAAGACTGGGTGAAAACCTTTGAGCTATTCAGAGGCAAGTCTACAGAAGAAGACCACAGCCTTGATGGGGATCGAGTCATAGGGAAGTTTAAGGTGGGCTCTAGTACCAGCCTTTGTCTTTGGCTCTCCCTTCCCAGAAATGTCAGACACCCCCTACTTCTGTCAATGGGATTCTGGGGTGTGGGGTCGGTGTAGAGAAATTCATTCATTTTTACTCAAGACCCTCTCTAGAGCCCCATAAGACCAAGCCCCAGTCTCTTGAGATATTTTCATGTATGCTCAGTGAAATGGGTTAGAACTCAATGTAGTGAAATACAAGGAGACCAGCTCATTGTATGAAAGGATCACTGAAGTTTACTTTGCCCAAATGCATCCTTCATGCAGACTGCCTATTGGACAAATAAGCTAAACCTTTCTGGAACACTTTTGGTGTCAACTTCACAAAGTAGTAGCTAACATTTACTATGAGCCTACGTTATACTCCAGAGTCTTTTACATGCAGTGTGGTGTGTTGGAAATAGTACGGGTGTTGTATGTTTGCCAATCTGGATTTAAATCCCAGTTATAAAACTACCTAGCTTCATGATCTTTAACAGTGTACTTAGCTGCCCTGATCCTCTCTTGCTGCATCTGGAAACAGGATATTGGGGTCAGGACTGAATGAGATCATGAGGGAAAGTATTGGCATCACAGCCTGCATGTAAGGTTCTCAAGATCCCATCTGACCTTCCTGTGAGAAAGATGTCCATGCACCCTCATGAAGGTAACATGAAGAATCTCAGCTGCAAGCAGGTTATGTGACTTGTCCGAGGAGATCCAGCTGATAAGCATGGCATTAGCCCAGGTCCTGCTGGGACACAGCCTGTGCTCCTTCTTCCAGCACTGAGCGCTGTGTGATTTTTGAGGAGACTTGGGACCATCCTGTTTCAATGGGTTGCTCTTTATGGTTCCAGGGCTCCTTCTGCATCTACAAAAGCCCTGAGGATTCCAACACTGAGGACACTGGGCAGCTAAGAATCCAGCAAGGGATCCCACCCAACTACTCAGTCAAAGTTCTGATCCGTGTGTACATTGTGGCGGTGAGTCATCCTTATCTATGCTGAGGGTCATAGAGTTTCTCTCAGGCTGGCAGGGGATAGATTTCCTAGGCATCTAGGATGGCCCTGGGTAGCTTTCTTTGTCTTCTGTGGTTATCTGCTAGCTGAGAAAGATACAGAATAGGACTGAAGCAGAAAGTTCAAAGTCAAGGCAGTTAGAGGAAGAGCCAGGATAGAAGAGGGCAGCTGCCATTGTGAAACCCTTCCCTTGTGGTCAGACCTCCACAGAAATTTCCTTTTGAATATATTTCCAAGAAAAACTTGATCTCCCCTAAGAGTTGTTGGCGTTAAATGCCGTCAAGTCAGTTCCAACTCATAGTGACCCTGTATAAGGTTTCCTTGGAGCAACTGGTGGGTTTGGACCACTGGCCTTGAAGTTAGCAGTCTGGTGCTAATGCTACAGGACTCCACGATAATTGTTGTTGTGTGCTGCTGCTGCTGGTGGTGGTGGTGGTGGTGGTGGTGGTTTTGTGCTGTTGAGTCAGTTCTAACTCATGGAGAACTTCTGTAGGGTTTCTGAGGCTGTAAATCTTTAAAGGAGCAGAACGCCTCCTCTTTCTCCTGCAGAGCAGCTGGTGGATTAGAACTGCTGACGTTGTCATTCACAGCCCAATACATAACCCATTACGCCACCAGAGCTGCTTCAGGGTAGTTGTTGTTGTGTTAACTGCTGTCGAGTTGATTCTGACTCATAGCAACCCTATGAGGGGTGGCTAGTGAACTTGAACCGCCAATCTTGTGGTTCAAACTGACCTTGCAGTCCAGTGCATTAACCCACAGCTCCACCTAGGACTCTTTATTTTTGGAAAAAGCAAATTATTTCTCTCTGGATACACTTAACCTGAGTTGGAAATGAAATCTAAATGGAAGAGATTTTAATCATGAAAGTAATTCTCAAAATATACACAATAAGAGTAGGAAATATAATTATAAAACTTTCTGACTTGGTTACCAGGATGCTCAGGATCAAAGCTGATGCTCAATCAAAGCAATTGTATGAACGTTTATGGTTCATGTGTTTATTTCCATCTCTTAACTTTGGACTTGGAAAATCTTATTTGATTGTACCAATATTATTATTATATTAAGTCTTTGCTTAAATTGCCTTAATCCTTTTTTAAGAAACATAAATTAAATAAAACAAAGTAAAGATGAATCATTCTTTAACTCTAAGAGAGAACTAGATGTTCTTCTATCCAGCTCTGCTTATGTTCTTCATCATTGTCAACATCCCCATCACCATGTGCCAGGTGTGTCCAGTCACTAGGGATGGGATGTTGTGAGGAAAGGACACAGTCTCTACCTTCAAGGAAATCACAGTCTAGTTGGAAAGATTAGAAGGATTTGTCAAGACTCATTGGCGATGCCAGATGGTTGTTGTTAAGTGCCATTGAGTCGGTTGTGACCCATAGTGACCCTATATAGGGTTTCCTAGGAGTGGCTGGTAAGCTTGGGTGACACTGACAATTTTAACAGCAAAATGGAGAGGCTAATGCAGTTCTTAACCTACACTGCCCATTCAGATTACCTAGGGAGCTTTAAAAATCCCTTTGCCCAGAACCAATTCATTTAGACTATCTGGTAATCAAAAAGGAGACCTGATGGTTCTGTAGGTTAAGCGTTGGGTTGCTAACCACCAGATCAGTGGTCCAAACTCACCACCTTTGCACAGGAGGGACATGAAGCTGTCTGCTCCTATAATGTTCCAGTGAAGATGGACAAACTCAGAAACCCACACAGGACAGGTCATTTCTACTCCATCCTGTAGGGTCGCTATGAGCTGGAATCCACTTTATTGCAGGGACCAAACTCAGGCATCAGCAATTATTTATTTATTTATTTTTAGCTTCTAGTTGAATCCGGTGTGCAAATAACACTGATGAACATCATCGACTAAAGGAGCTTTCTTTTTCTCCCCCTCGCAGGCATTTAATCTTAGCCCTGCTGATCCAGATGGGAAATCCGATCCCTACATTGTGGTCAAACTTGGCAAAACGGAAATCAAAGACCGGGAAAAATATATCCCCAAACAACTGAACCCAGTATTTGGAAGGTCAGTGGCCCTCTGGCCTGCATCACCCTATCCATTCTGTGCTTGCTGCTTCCCTGTTTCTGGGGCTCACGGGGCAGGTTGGTACTGCAGTGTGCATGGCTGATGATCCAACGATGACAGCTCTTTTGATAGCAGCAACCACACTTGCATTCCAGGAGGGCCAAATTCTCTCCTTGGTCCCCTCAGGAATTTAGTGGTGCACGATGATCTCTGTGTCCTTGGTTTCCCAATAATGGTCTCCTGGGTCAGTGATTCTAAGGGGCAGTTTGAAGGGTCGTTGGATTCTGTTTCCTGCCTTTGGACTGGTTGAGGTTTCTGTTATACAAAGGTGACTAAGGCACAGGGAGGTTAAGAAACTTATTCAAGATCACACAATGTTTAAGTGGAGGATAACCAGAAATTTGAACTTCTGTTTCTTACCAAAGGGTTTTTTCTACCATTTGAGGTGACCTCTAAGGTCAAAGGAGTCCTGGTGTGGTGCTGTGGGTAATGCACCAGACTGCAAAGCCCATTTGAACTGCAAGGTTGGTGGTTCAAGCTCACCAGCTTCTCCTTGGAAACCCCATACTTGGGTCAGAACCAACTCGATGGCACTTAACAACAACTAAGGTCAAAATGTTGAACTGTGTCCCTCAGTTGTTTTCTTGCAAAATGTTTTTAAACTCATGGTATTTTGTATGTGTAAGTGGGCAAAGCATTCTCCAGTTTAGGACAATCCTGCTGCCTCCATTTGTCTTCTAACAGAGTGTCTGTCACACATTCAGGATCCCTGTTTGGTCCTGGAAAATGTCTGAGTTTGTGCTCCTGGTTTCCATTAACCTTAGAGTCAAGCAGATCTGGTCATTTTGTTTCTTCCACCTACTAGCTGTCTAACTTGATACAGATGGCTGACTTCTCTGATCCTAGGGTCTATCATTGGTAAAGCAGCAATAGTGACACCAGACTCCCAGAATCCTTTAGAAGATTTAACATTCTCTGTGCCAGCAGCACAAAGGAGATAGTTGAAAATCATTAGCTTCTTCTCATCCCCCTACCCCTTGATAATCATTTTAACAATGGGCACGTTTTGGTATTGCTGTTGTTAGGTGCCGTCTATTCGATTCTGACTCCCAGTGATCCTCTGCACAACAGAATGAAACACTGCCCAGTCCTGCGCCATCCCCACAATTGTTACGGGCCCACTGCTGCTGCCACTGTACCAACACACTTTATTGAGGGTCTTCCTCTTTTTTTGTTGACCCATGGCCAGCATGATGTCCTTCTCCAGTTACTGGTCCCTTCTGATAGCATGTTCAAAATTTGCGAGACAAACTTTCCTTTGTCTCACCATCCTGACTTCTAAGAGCATTTTGGCTACACTTCAAGAAAGACAGAGTGGACCATTCTTCTAGCTTTGTCTTTGTATGCCATTGCTTTAGTTTCGACGCATATCAGCCTTGTGTAGGGTTTCTGTGGAGCAGCTAGTGGGTTTGAACTGCCAGCCTTGTGTTTAGCAGTCCAGTGCTGATCCTACAGCGTCACACCAGTAGTCCTTCGATAGTCCCCACTATTCAACATTCTTCACTAGCACCAGAATTCAAAGGCATCAATTCTTCAGTCTTATTTATTCATTATCTTGCTTTCCGTTGCATACAAGGTTATTGAAACTATGAAGGTTTGGTCTCAAAGTGAATCTTTGCATTTTAACGCTTGGAAGATATCTTTTGCAACAGATTTTCCCAATGTGATATGTTGTTTGGTTTCTGAACTGCTGATCATGGGTGTTGATTGTGGATCCAAGTAAAATGAAATCTTTGACAACTCAAAGGTTTTCTGCATTTATTAGGATGTTGCCTATTAGTCCAGTTATGAGGATTGTTGTTTTCTTTATGTTGAGGTGGAGTCCACACTAAAGTCTTTGAGCTTCATCAGAGTGCTGCTTCAAGCCCTCTTTGCTTTCAGCAAGCAAGGTTATGTTATCTGAAGTGTATTTCATTTCTTTTTATCTGGAATACCTAAGAGTATGGGAGGAAATTTCCATCAACCTCATTTTAAATCATTTACATATTTGTGATCAACTTGGATCCACTCACATTCGCTCAGCACCAGCCTCTTAAATTATTTTGCTCCTGAAGAAACGAGGCAATAAACGATCTTGCCTGTTCAGACTAACAAGAGTGATTTAAAATGATGGTGCCAGGGAAATTTACCCTGTGTTGTCCCTGTTCCCAGAGATGATCTTTATCACCTGTGGTTTATGCAATGAGCACTACAATCTTTCAAGCACTTAGCTTGTTTTGCCACAGTGACTTGACTTTTACTGGTTTTATTGCCCCATTTTATGGTCATGAGAAACAAAAGAGGATGATACAATATTCTCTTCTGCTTTTGGACATGCAGGGCTTCTTCCAGAAGTCTCTATCTGTTGACATTTGGTTGGATGCGTATATAATTGTCATCATGACTAAATTGCTCTCTAAATTCCAAAGTGTTCCAAAGGAGGAAGGAAGGGACTTGTGGGACTGACTGGGGCCTGGGGATCACTCTTCAAGGGCCTCACTGCTTCACTGTTCCCAAGAGGATATAACAGGCTCTGCCCTCCTATGGAAGGAGCTCTGGTAGCATAGTGGTTACAAATTGGGCTGCTAACCTCAAGGTCAGCAGTTTGAAACTACCAGCTGTTCCGCAGGAGAAAGATGAGGCTTTCTGCTCCCATCAAGATTTACAGCTTTGGAAACCCTGTACAGGGTCTCTATGAGTCAGAACCGACTCCACGGCACATAACCACCACCCACCACCCTCCTATGGAGTCCTGGTGTGATGCTGTGGGCTAATGCGTCAGACTGCAAAGTTGTTTGAACTGCAAGGTTGGTGGTTCAAGCTCACCAGCTGCTCCTTGGAAACACTATACAGGGT